TTAGGGTACAAGCGCTATGAGAAGGGACTAGTTCTGTCATTGTCACCATTGTGAAATGGTGAAATAGCATTTGGCTCATGCCTAGAACAGGAGCTCACATATTTACTGAATGAGTCTCAGTTCAGGCCTAACTTAGTCGCAGATCTGCTCTGAGATGTTTAAGATCCTGAGAGCTCAGACAGTAAGTGTGGGCTATTGTCTTCCACTCCTGACAGGAAATAAGCAGTCACAGTAACTGATAACTGCATTGCTAGAACTAACTTTTGAGAATTTTGTTCCAGAAATGGAGGCTCAACCATCAACCCTGCTTCACTTCCATTAAAGCAGTACCCTCCCTAGTGCCTCCTTATCCAGGAGATGCCAGTTACACTGAGACCTCAGAGATGGGGGGAGAGTAGAAACAAATTAAGTATAGAATGGAGTATTTCTGCAAAATGAAGTTTTAAATACTATTTGATAGGATCAAAAATTGGTACTCAAGGGTAAGTTTTCCAAATATTAGATGGGCTTTTTTTTTTTTTTTAACATTCTCTACCTTCTATTCAAAAATGTTTTAGGAATTTGAATAGGTATTACCTCTACTATTGGACACACCTGCCTTAACATATTTTTCCTCATTAGACAGCCTTGGTATCTTTTTGATGAAGGGACTATATGTCCAGAAGTATGTAAAGTCCTCAAAAAGGATGAAAAGATTAAGCTGGTGATACCAAATACTGTAACAGACGGTAATTATTATGTATTATTTTTCTGGGTCCAGATGTAGCCTCAGCATATTTATCAATTTAATATTTCAAGCAGCCTTCATTCCCACTAGATCAAGTATTTTGTTGTCCCTGCGTAAGGCCACCCTCAGGTATAGCTTGGAAGATAATGGAGTTCAGGGGATATCAGTAATTTCTAAGGAGAATAAGCAAAGGAGATATGCTGGGAAATTCTGTAAAGAATGTAAGGAAATCATGAATTGGCTTTAATCTGTTCTATGTATATACTTGCACACCTAAATGTACTTCTTGGAAACCAGGGAAGCTACAGAGCAACTTGAGGGGTGAGAATGTTCCCCACTCTGCATGGAAGCCACATCAATGGAAGGCATTCATGTAAAGCTTGTACTTTCTGGACCTCAAACCCTCCCCAATCTAGCCGCATCCATAATATGCTCTCATTCCCACCAACGCTCCTAGGGAAAGCTAGATACAGCACATTTTCAACAAATTCTAACATGAACTTGAGTTTTAAGGAACAGGGAGAGTATGTTTTCTGTTCTAGATGGTAGCATTTTCTCTCCAGCATGGCTTGTTTATAGCTGTCATTTAGCAGCTGAGGGCACTTTTTTGTAAGCTGGCGGTCTTCAGTCCCTGGTTTGTCATATTTGACTCCTACCCAAACGCTGACATATTAAAAAAAAAAAAAAATCAGTAACTCACTTTTGTTTGTTCTTTCAGCTCCTTTGAAGATTATGAAACAGAGGAAACTGTCTCTCCCTCTGAAATTGGAAACAAAGGCAATAAAAGTAAAATAGTAACCTCAGACCTTTCAGAAAAATGTGGAAAGCTTCAGTCAGTGGATGAAGAGTAGCAGCCAGTGTCTACATGAGAGATACATGTTTTAAATGTCTTTTTCTTGTGGAGATGCTCCAGTTTGCATACTGCTTTTAAAGGCTTTCATTTCTGCAAGTATGTATCTGCACTAGGAACTTTAAAACGTTTTAGTAAGTCTGGATACACATACTCAATTTGGGGGACTCCTCCAATTTGCCTCAGACCTCTTGGCACAGCTTTTTCCCCAAACAAATACAGTGATACACACCACTTTCCGAAGTCTGTGAATCGGTACTCTTCACCCCTGAATGTACCAAGGATCTCTCGAGGACAGTGCCAAGCACAGTTCTCTGCACAAAAGCAGGTGTTGCCTCTGTTGTCCATCATCTTTGAGGCCTCTCAGGGCTCCTATGGAGCCCAGAAGAAACCTTCACTTGCAGAAAACTTGAGTCAAAAATATTCTGGAACTTTAAAAAGCAGTTAAGGGCCTCCAGAAGTGACTTAATCCTGGTAATAAAAGCACTGCCAAAACATCTCAAGAGACTTTAAATATGTGTACTGGAGGAGTTCAAAGATCTTGAACTTACTTGGTTTAATGTAACTTCACAATGACCTGCCAAACTGCTAGTCACTTTACATCCTCAGGTATTGTAACCACTGGGCCTTCCAACCTTGCTGGCAAGTTCTGAATAATCTCTCCCCTTCCTGACTGTGGATCTTACATGAAATATGATGAAAAAGCGTTTAATTACAGAATTTGACTCATACTTGAAAGGAAGTTCCCTTTTAACTTATCTAACATTTGTGAAGAATTACTGAATGACTTATTAATCTCCAAATTAGTTGATACCCCATCTGTACTTCCTACTAGAAGGCCTACTGTGAAGACTTAGTGACATGAAAATTCTTACTAGATGTATTCCTTTCATCACTGAATATTAGACTAAGCCAACAGTTAAGGCCTCAATCCCTTTGTATTGAAAAGAACAATTTCAAATATTCTATCACCTCAGTATTTATCACAAAAATGGGAAAAAAGTGATGTCACCCATAAAGGAAGACTGTTTCATCTGTACTGTAGAGGTAGATGTTTCATTACAGAATTCTACATTTTTTGAGCAAGCCACAGTGCAGCCAAATCCTATAATACCCTTAAAGATAAAACAAAATAAACTCTTAAAGATAAAACAAAATAAACTATGAAAAAGAATGGACATTAATAGTGTAAGCAAAAGAAACCCCCAGGAAACTAACATCCATGTCAAAGTCCTCACCTTTTCCCCTGGGTTTTTTGCTTTAACCACAAGTCCTAAATGTCAGAACAGTATCCCTTGCCACCCTGCTTTTGTTCCTCCTAACCGATGTTAAAGTTAAAACAATTAAATAATCAGACCTATAATCAGGCTATGGTGGGCAAAAAGTAGAGATAACTGCTATTTAGGAAATGTACCATCAACTGGTACAGTAATAGTTGTTTTTTTTTTTTTTCCCAGTATCCTCTGTTGCCTGCTATTTTACTTTTCATGATCAGAATTAATCCTCTACTTCATGGTAACAGAAAATGATAAATATTAAAATTTGGCATCTAATAGTTCAACTAAAAAGTTTAAAAAATGATTAAATTTTTAGGAAACACCACATGTAATAACCTAATCACACTAGTAAATTAGGATTAAAAATATTTGTGATCGTGAAATTTACCATCTATTCCATCCACTCTTTACTAGGGAGAGAAGGCAATTTTTTTTTTAAATTTCAGGTAAAATATTAAAAAGGTAATACTGGCTTTAGAAGCCAGATATGGTTTAAAGGTTTTATTATCCATAATGATCTAAACTATTTCTAAAGTCTCCATCAACAAAAAGTTCTAAAGACTCCATCAACAAAAATTAATCTTCCAATTATGTATTTGATTTTTTTAATACTATTTGGCTTTTATCTTTTTACCTTGTGTCTCCTTACTGAAATCCTCTTGCTTTTACTTTGGTCTGTATTTGGTTTAAAAGTCTGTAATTATTATAAAAAGTAACGGCTACCAATATCATTCCATTTAAGATAAAGCTATTTTAATTTAGGTTACCCAAAGTATATTTTCAGACGTGTTTCACTGTAGTCCTTTCTTAAGAGTTGAATTCAAGAAATGTGAATTCCAAGGAACTAGGACTTTCTGGTAAATATCTCACCAAATAAACCCACCCAACTAGAAATTTAAAGTTTTTACAACATCCCAGGCTGCATAATAAAAATTAAATTGAGGGTTATTGTGGTCTTAATGCTATTCAGTGAAAAGTGAGTTTCATAGCAAAACATTAATTGCCAAGGTAATCAAACTAATAAAATTGTGTGTATTTTCCCTGCATCTTATGTATGTCATTGTGTACAATTCACAGTGTTTATAAAATTCTAGATTGATCAAATGAGGTAAGTCATTTGCTCAACTTTTGGAAATGTTATGAAGTGTGCTTGGGTGGAGAAACCTGCATGATTTAACTTGTTTTTGTTTTTCCCTTTTTGCAAAACTAAATAAAGAGACAAGTTGTCAAGTATGAACCATGTTCACTAAGATAGTCACTACACATTTTTGGTGTTATTCACACTTGCACCTCATTTTTATGTTTGAAAGAGTAACCTCACAAACAAACGAGTTTCAAAGAATAATTCTTTGAACCCTTGGGAAAATCATAAAGGAATATATAACTGGTAAGTTCTTTCCTTTGGGGAGATAAGGAAGAGGACTAGATACTGGGAATGAGAGGGTCACAGGTATCAAGAGGGACTTTAGCCTTATGTACTTTTTAGCCTTATGTATAATGTATTCTTTTAGAAGAATGTGTAATTGTTATTTGCATACCTAAAACCTAATTTTTTAGAAAGGAGGGACAAAAGTTAAACTATCATCCAATTATTAGAATCTGATGGTGTACTTTCAAGTTAGTATTTTCTAAAACATTTTATATTTATTACCTATGATATGGGAAAGGAAATTTTGTTTTTCATCTGTTGTAAAAATTTTACTTTTCTTCAGCAAGGTCACCAAAGAGTTGTTTCAAGAATACAAATATCACAGTAAAATAAAAGGAATTCTTTATCCTAGGACCATATTATAGCTCTGCACAGAAACACAGACTTACTGAAGCTAACCAAAAGGATAAATCGCCAGTTCTGACACTTCTATCATGATTATGTATGTTAACAAAGACTCAAAAGAACAAATGAAAATGTGTCATATTAGAAGTTGTTATTGTTTTGATGGTTTCAAATCCTGATAAAGTAAATCCAGTTACTGCAGTAATAATTTCTCAATCATCCCTAGTTAGCCATTAGTCAGCATTCCTAAATAACTCATGGTATAAAGAAAAACAATGCAAAAATCAAGGCACTGTAATTATTCTTCCCCAAATGTATATAATATAGGCCATTCAGAGCATACTATCCCAAACTCCTCAGTATTCTACAACATAGAATTAGAAAACTAACATTTATTGATAGATTTAAGGTGTAATACAGGTTTCCAAAAATGTGGCAGTGAGAATACCAGCATAAAAAAGAGAAACTTGTGCTAAAAACAACCTGAATTAACCATTGGCAATATTACATAACAATCAAGGCCCTCACATACTAATGATTTCTGATTTGTCTATATTGCCAACCTCCCATGCATCAAAAAACACAAAACTAAAATTATCAAACTTGGGAAGCAATAAAGTACTCTATGAATTTTAAGATCATAATATTAGGAAAGTTTGGGAGATTTGCAAAATATATCCTAATCATCCATGTGTACAATCTCATTTCTAGTCATTTCTGCAGTGATCATTAGTGAATAAAGAACAGATTTACAAGTTTATATAGCAGGGCATCTGGGTTTAACACAAAACTGTTACAAACTTTAGGCAAATACATGTTTCATAAGACACGGCTAACACTTAGAGGAATTAAATAAAATTCCAAAACTTGGAAAGCAAATAAAGACAAGACAACTAAGAAGCATTTTCCACCATTTACTCTTGTTATCAAAAATAGTTCAACTCTTCTTGCAAAACAAAAACAAAATAGTACATACTGGACACATACATCACATTTTTCTTCCTATGGCTTTAGCCCACCCCCACCCCACCAAGAGAGACAAAAAAAAAAAAAAAAAAAAAGAAGAAGAAGAAGAAAAAAAAAAAGCAAAAAAAAAAAGCCCAACAACAACAAAACAATTCTACCTGACCACATTCACAGAAAATGACACCAGGATACACTACAAAACAGAAGGAGGTGTCATCTGCTCTGTGTCCAAAGGTTTCTTCTCCATGTCTTGTACTAGGTGAGTAACCATCATTGAACATGCTGTGTGCCAAATCAAAACATAACTTCACTTCAACATATGTCAGATCTCACGAGAGATGGTGAATGTAGTAGAAATTGGAAATTTTCCAGCAGTATTTTTCTTTAAATAAGCACTGTCAAAGCTGCAATTCTTTTAAATCATAAGGTCGTTTCTTTACAACCTAGTCAGTCCTTGTTTTATCTGGGCTGTGCTCTTTCAAGCAACTGACTAGATTACCCTTCAACAGAATGTTTGTGACTCACTTGTCTTCCCATAAAAATTAAAGGGAAGCCATGAATTTAAACTGAAACACAGTTTGTGCTTTACATGCAAAAGAGCATTCTAAAGAAAATCCTCCTAGCTTCAAACCTACATAAATGCACAGGCTTCATAAAAATCTATTTTTTTATTTGGCCTCTATTAAGAAGCCCTCATAATGAATAGCACCCCAAAAAAGAGAAAAGGAGCATATTCAAAATAAAGTCTGTGAAACTATTAGAAGAAACAAACAAAACAAAACAAAAAAAAAATCAAAGAAGTGGCCAATAGCAATAAATATACCACATAAACCTGGGTAAGTTTGGGGGCATTATTTCAAAATTATTTCAAATAAATCCCAATTTCTAAATAAAAATTTTTATAATTTTTTAAAAATTGTCACATCCTATAGTCTAAATTCAATTACCTTCAGAATAAAACTGCTCTTCTCCACTTCATTTATCTAATTAGAACATGCTAAAAGTGAAGGTTTTCCAATTTTTTTTCCCTAGAAATGAGTCAGACTAACTATAAAAGTTATTCAAACTCAAAAGGGTTTTATCGCATAAACAGCTAAACATCTGCAATCTTGACAGAATTTGTTCACTTTAAAAGACAGATTTCAACATTCTAATGAGGGGCAAATTTTCTTTCATAATACTGCTGATTTAAGAACTGCTACATACACCAGTAGCCAATTTTCATGATCAGAAATGGTATTATGTCAGCACAAAGGTTGAGCTGGACACATCAGCTTTTCAACAGGAGGAGCATCAATGGCATCTGAAGGCAGCACTGAGTCCCCTGAACTAATGGCTACTTTTTCACAAAAAATCAGCACAATCTTTTTGGACTGACTAGATACCACTTCCTTACATTTAATCATAAACTTTGATTATGCACAAAGCATGACCATAAACAATGAGGTTAATGTTATTTTCCTTGCCAAAGTTCATTTTGTATAAATCAGTTGCATCAGCATTTGTTCTCAAACTATGAGGTTCTGTAAGAACTAAGGACATATAGTTGTAGGGTTACTCCTCCATTATCTGCAAACTATTTCCCCGACACTAACACATATAACTTAGCAATGAAAACACTTGATACAAGTGATCTATATGCAGGAGCTCCGGCAAGTTAAACCAACAAAACCATAGCTGCCGTAAAACTGTAGCTATTTCCCTACCAGAGGTAGGTTTAAAGACCCACTGATTTAACAGTCGAATCTCATGTCTATAGCTTCATCCAAACTTTTATCATCATGTGTACTGGCAGCTAAAAACGTTGTTACTGGGGACCCTGTGACATTAATTACACTGGTGCTGGTACTAGCATTGCGCACAGCAATGCTAGTCACATTAATGCCCAAAGTGAGCCTGGTCTGCTCCAAGGCCTTTTCTGGCACAGCAAATGCCTCCAGCTTCTTCTCCCCATTGGCCATATAGGAGTTTTGGCAGCCACGACATATACAATCTAAGCAGGCTTTGCGGTTAGAGTAGCAAGGGCAGCGTTGGCCGCGGCATGTAAGAACACTTGGATTTTGAGTAGCACGCCCACATTTACACCCTTTCTTTTCCTGGGGTTTTTTATACACAGTCTTGGTAGGACTTCCTGGCATAAAATGGTGACTAGGAATCTTTTCCTTTACAGTTTTGTCTTTTTTAAGAATACCTGGCTTGGTTTTAGAATGAGATTTCTTGGATCCGTGTTCATGACTCTTTTTCATGCTTTTAGTAGATAAAAGTACAGTTTTGCTGATTTTGGGTGTTGTGCCTCCATTGGGAACAGTTGCTATAGGTTGAAGAGAAATTTTGCTCTCCCGTTTCACTGTCACAGGGGCAGATGCCCCCAACGTTGGGCCTCGGATAATGGTAGAAATTGGAAGTGGCTGAACTTTCTCACTGTCACTTTCTGATCTGGATCGTTTTCTATTCAATTTTGCTACTTTTGGAGTTGCTGCTGTACATGATAACCCATGAAGTGCAGGACTGGTGGACATAAAAACATTATGGCTAAGAGACTGGGAAGAAAGCTGCAGAAAAGGTCCATTGGAGACAGTGGCTTCCAAGTTGGGCTGCAAATTAGGGCAACAAACCTCCGTATTTGAAACAGTTTCTAAGCTGCGGAGCACTTCCTCAACACTCAGTAATAGAGAGTCTCCAGGTTTTATATCTTCACTGAAACTGCAGATATCAATGCCTGTGGAGCATAAGTCAGTGGCTACTGTGTCACAGACAGGTGGCAAGCTGTCAGACAGATCCTCAGTTTTTATGTCAACAGTGTTACATACATCAATTGTGTTTGAATGTTCAGGTGAAGGAATATTTATACCAAATCTATCTATTGAAAGCCCATTATAAGTAGGCAAACCATTGATAACAGAACTGCCAATAGCAATGCTGAGGGTGCTTTCAGATATTGGAGATAAACTAGCTTGAGGATCAGCTGTGGGTTCTGAGGTTGAAGGTAAAGGGGAATGTGTTAAACACAAAGTAAAGGATGAATCTGAGGGTTTTTCTGTCTCCTCACAAAACAATGATCCATCATTAAGCAAAGCCAAAATATCCGAAGAACAGTCGACTGCTTCTATTATATCCCGTGCCAATGTAGTCTGTGTGATATATTCGCATAGTTTTTTGTAGCAGTTCACTAGGATGCTTAACTGCTTGTTTTCCTCAAATTGCTCATAGTCTTTGCACCAGCTACATGAAGGTTTCATCATCATTTTCTTGCCTTTACAAGGTTTGCAGACATAATGTTGGCAGGTGGAGTTGGTGGGTGCGATAGGATCTTGTAGCAAATGTCCTAAGAGGGAAAAAGGAGGAAAGCAAAGATTTTAGTAAAATAAATATACAATTTCATACACTGAAGTTAAGGTGAGATTATAAGTAATCTATTAAAATTGAGATGGGTTAAACTCACTAGACCAGATAACAAAAAACATTATCTTACAGGAAACGGAAAAATACTCAATAGTGCGCTTCACTTCTATTCCCCATTCCTTTATCTCAAACCAGAATCTTCCTTGATTCTGTACTTCTCTCCCAAACGGTATGTTCTGGTCCACTTTCTTATCCTCCTCTCCAAAGGCTACAGAGATGTGAAAGTCAGTCACCAAAAGCACGAACTTGGCTTAAAACCCTTAGAACCTAAACCAAACACAACACTGTAATGCTACCATGTACTGGCAAAATCATACTGTTTATTTTGTATTAAACACTGGGAAAAAAATATGAATAAGAGACACTTAGTCCCTACCCTCTTAAACATAGTTTAAGGGTATTAATCAGTACAAAGTCATCTTCACCCAAAAAAAAAAGTGTAACTCCAACCATTTTATTATATATACTAATTTAAAACTGAGAAGACTGAAATGTTATGGTGAAAAAGAACTATGTTCATTTATCTAAAGAAAAAAGGGAGTAACACATGATTAAGACTCAAATTCTCCTACAGAAAGTCAAAATGCAAGGACAAAAAAGAATTGTTTAAATGTATCAAAAAGAAAAAAAAGGGCATACTACCAGATTCCAATTCTTCTGACAAAATACAAAATGACCCTAGTCATAAACCGCAAGTATCCGAAGTAGAACAACATCACATAAAACTGAAAATGGTCTCCCAAATTATAAATGACCCGTGTAGATTATGTAACAGGAAAGAGAAAACAACTAGATCCAGTCACTATTTCCACTCAACTCCACAAAGAAGCAATGGTTCTTGGTTCCAAATTCAGGACAAACAGTTAGTAATAAACTCAAAGTAGCACCTGTTTCTCATACAAAATTATGTAGTTAGTGAGACTCTGGCATGGAAAAGAAGATACCTCAGGCTACAGCCAAGTGAAATCAGCAAACCCTCTCCCTTAAAAGCCACTATAAACCTGCAAACTTTTCAGAAAACGAGTCATTTTCATAATCAAAGACAAAACCATTTGATAAGCATTTATATGTTTGAGAAACTGCTCAATTTCAAGTAACAACAGTGAGAATCTGTGGTGGCCCAGTCTGGGGCTGCCCAGTTTTCCCCTTCCATTCAGTTCCATCAGTGTTACCCTGAAGACCAGAAGCTGCTGTGACAGAAGGGAGCTCACTCCATTTAGTGCAGAGAATGATGCAGAGCCCCAAAAACATGATCACTGAAAGTGACTTCTCAGAGGCTAGCCAGCTGGAGAAGGCAAAAAGCTCAGTTCTTACTAGCCTGAGGTTACACAAGCCCACATTAAACAGGCCACAAACAAGAAGACAATCTACCTCAAGTTGATCTATAAATTCAATGCCATCTTTATGAAAATGCCAGTGTCTTTTTAAAGAAATTTACTGATTCTAAAATTCTTATGGAATCAGAGGACCTAGTATAGCCAGAACAATTAAGAGAGCAGATTTGGAGAACTTATACTATCAAATTTCCAAATCATCTTTAAAGCTACAGTAACCAAAACAATGTGGCAATGGCAAAGGATAAACATACAAATCAATAGAACAGAACAGAGAGCACAGAAATTCTTACATTTACAGTCTACTGATTGCTGTGATGCGTGCCCAGATAATTCAACAGGGAGAGAGTATTTTCCACATCACGTTGGACAATTTGATACCCAAATGCAAAAAAAAAAAAAAAAGTAACAACAACAAAAAACAAACAGGAAAAAAAATATCCAAAAACCCAACAACTACTTAGATCCTTACCTCACAATATGCACAAACATTAACTCAAAACGGATCGCAGACACCTTATATATAAGACCTAAAGTTCTAGAAGAAAAACACAGAAGAAAATCATGACTTTGGGCCAGGCAAAGTGTTAGATGTGACATCGATGCACAATCTGCAAAAGGGAAAAAGTTATAAAGTAGATTTCCACAAAATTAAAAATGTGTGCTTCAAAAGACACCATTAAGAAAACAAAAAGATAGGGGTGCCTGGATAGCTCAATCAATTAAACATCTGCTTTCAGCTCAGGTCATGATCCCAGAGTCCTGGGATCAAGCTCTAAGTCAGGATCCTTACTCAATGGGGAGTCTACTTCTCCCTCTTCCCTGGGCCTGCCCCTCTGCCTGCTTGTGCTTGCTATAAAATAAATAAATAAAATCTTTTTTTTTTTTTTTAAAGAAAGAAAAAGAAATAAAGAAAGAAAAGAGAAAATGAGAAAGATAATCCACAGTATGGGAAAAATATTTGCAAATCACTTATCTGATAAAGGGCTTATAACATGACATATTAAAAACACTTCCTACAAATCAATAAAAAGACAACTCAATTTTTAAAGTGGGCAAAAAAAAATCAATCAGTGTGATAGAACACATTAATAGGAGAGACAAGAACCATATGGTCCTCTCAATTGATGCAAAAAAAGCATTTGACAAAATATAGCATCCTTTGCTGATTAAAACTCTTCAGAGTGGAAGGATAGAGGGAAATTCCTAAAAACCATCTACAAAAAGCCCACAGAGAACATCATTCTCAATGGGGAAAAAAGCTGAGAGCCTTTCCTTCCCTTAAGATCAGGAACAATGACAAGGATGCCCACTCTCACCACTACTGTTCAGTATAGTACTAGAAGTCCTGGCAACAGCAATCAGACAACAAAAAGAAATAAAAGGTATTCAAACTGGTAAAGAAGAAGTCAAATTCTCTCTCTTTGCAGATGACATACTTTATGTGGACAACCCAAAAGGCTCCACCCCCAAATTACTAGAACTCATACAGCAATTCAGTAATGTGGCAGGATACAAAATCAATGCACAGAAAATCAGTTGCTATCCTATACACTAACAATGTAACTGTAGAAAGAGAAATTAGGGAATTGATTCCATTTACAATAGCACCAAAAACCACAAGATACTTTGGAATAAACCTAACCGAGGAGGTAAAGGATCTATACTCTAGAAACTACAGAACACTTATGATAGAAATTGAAGAAGACACAGAAAGACAGAAAAACATTCCATGCTCATGGATCAGAAGAATAAACATTGCTTTGGGCAGCATAGACATTTTAACAATCTATATTTTAAACACCATCTGGACCAAAGTACCAACAGCATTTTTCAAAGTGCTGGAACAAACAATCCTAAAATTTATATGGAACCAGAAAAGACCCTGAATTGCCAAGGAAATGTTGAAAAAGAGAAACAAAGCTGGGGGCATCACACTGCCTGATTTCAAACTATATTATAAAGCTGTGATCACGAAGACAGCACGGTACTGGCACAAAAACAGACACACAGGTCAGTGGAACAGAATAGAGAGCCCATATGGACCCTCAACTCTATGGTCAACTAATCTTCAATAAAGCTGGAAAAAAACATCCAATGGAAAAAAGTCTCTTCAATAAATGGTGCTGGGAAAACTGTACTGCTATATACAGAAGAATCAAACTCGACCATTCTCTTACACCATACACAAAGATAAACTCTAAATGAATGAAAGATCTCAATGTGAGACAGGAATCATCAAAATCCTAGAGGAGAACATGCAGGAAGTAACCTCTTTGCCATCAGCCACACCAACTTCTTTCAAGACACATCTCCAAAGGCAAAGGAAACAAAAACGAAAATGAACTTTTTGGACTTCATCAAGATAAAAAGCTCTGCACAGCAGAAGACACAGTTAACAAAACAAAGCAGCAACCCACGGAATGGGAGAAGATATATGCAAATGACACTACAGAAAAAGGGCTGGTATCTAAGATCTACAAAAAAACTTCTCAAACTCAACACCCAAAAACACCAAAAACAGATAATCAAATCAAAAAATGGGCACAAGGGGCGCCTGGGTGGCTCAGTGGGTTGGGGCCTCTGCCTTCGGCTCAGGTCATGATCCCAGGGTCCTGGGATCGGGCCCCGTGTCGGGCTCTCTGCTCGGCGGGGAGCCTGCTTCCTCCTCTCTCTGCCTGCCTCTCTGCCTACTTGTGATCTCTGTCTGTCAAATGGATAAATAAAATCTTAAAAAAAAAAAAAATGGGCACAAGACATGATCAGACACTTCTCCAAAGAAGACCTACAAATGGCTAACAGATACAAGAAAAAATGTTCAACATCATTAGCCATCAGGGAAATTCAAATCAAAACCACACTGAGATACCACCTTATACCAGTTAGAATGGCAAAACTGACAAGGCAAGAAACAACAAATGATGGAGAGATTGTGGAGAAAGGGGAATCCTCTTACACTGTTGATGGGAATGCAAGCTGGTACAGCCACTTAGGAAAACAGTGTGGAGGTTCCTCAAAAAGTTAAAAACAGAAGTACCCTATGACCCAGCAATTGCACTGGGTATTTACCCCAAAAATACAGATGTAGTGAAAACAAGGGGCACATGCACCCCGATGTTTACAGGAGCAATGTCCACAATAGCCAAACTGTGGAAGGAGCTCAAATGCCCTTCAACAGACGAATGGATAAAGATGTGGCCCATATACACAACGGAATATCATTCGGCCATCAGAAAGGATGAATACCCAATATCCGCATCATCATGAACGGAACTGGAGGAAATTATGCTAAGTGAAGTAAGTCAAGCAGAGAAAGACATTTATCATATGGTTTCACTTATTTGTGGAACATAAGGAATAGCATAGAGGACATTAGGAGAAGGAAGGGAAAAATGAAGAGGGGGAATCAGAAAGAGACAAACAATGAGAGACTATGGACTCCAGGAAACAAACTCAGGGTTTTAGAGGGAAAGGGGTGGGCGGATGGGTTAGCCCAGTGATGGGTATTAAGGAGGGCATGTATTGCATGAAGCACTGGGTGTTACACGCAAACAATGAATCATGAAACACTACGTCAAAAACTAATGAT